TAGCAGTTCTGTTTTTTAACCGGCCAGTTTTTGAAAATCAAAACCATTTGCTAGTTCCAGGTTGAACCGAAGATTCATGTTGGTTCTGACTGATTTGGTCCGATCCAATTTTTAAAACTGAGCAAAATCATAATATAAATAGATTTTAAAATCCGTCGTTTTAAAATATAAACTATTCGGCTTATTAATTAATTTATGAAAAAAACAAATAAATATTAATATATTAAAATACTAATTTATTTTATTAAAAAAATATTTCTCTTAATTAATGAGTTATTGATCCAAACCTGCGGGTCAGCTCTGAACATCACCGACTTAAGCTCACTTCCGGTGATCCTCATAATCCCACCGCCGGTTGAATACAGAAGCGGCTTACCGCCGGCGATCTTATTCATATAAAGCGCGAGTCCTCCGGACTTAACCGCGAGACTTTCTCTTAATTTATGAGTTATTGATCCAAACCTGCGGGTCAGCTCTGAACATCACCGACTTAAGCTCACTTCCGGTGATCCTCATAATCCCACCGCCGGTTGAATACAGAAGCGGCTTACCGCCGGCGATCTTATTCATATAAAGCGCGAGTCCGCCGGACTCAACCGCGAGACTGTATCCACCGAGTCGACTCACCAGCTTCTTACCAACGTTAAGCGACTGGCCAACAAGCAGGGTGTCCGCAGGGTGTTCGAAGCTTTGCCACAAAAAGCTTCCCCGCGTATCGACAAGCACAATGTTACCGTTGGGGAGTAAGCGGAGACCTTTCACGTCTTTTCCTGCGGTTTTAGAGGAGAAGACCAGGGAGCCGTCGGCGTCGGTGAGGCGAAGATCACCGTCGGCAAGGAGGGAGAAGACCGCGTTGTCGGCGACGGGGCGGGAAGGGTTGGCGGTCCAGACGAAGCGGAAGATGGATTCAGAGCGGGGTGTGCCGAGGCGGAGGGCGAGGAAGAAGGAGGAAGGGGTGGTGTTGAAGAAGCAGAGTTGGAAAGGGGAGGAGGCGATCGGGAGGAAGCGGTAGGTGGCCGAGTATTCAGCGATATAGGGGCCGAATTCGCCGGAGTTGGTGTAGGAGAAGGTTTCCGAAGGAGGTACTTTTGCGGAGGTGGAGGAGGAGTGGAGGAGGAGGGGGAGGAAGAGGACGAGGAGGAGAGGGGATGTTGGAGGTGCCATGCTTGGGTGGATTTGGGGGAGAAAGGTGGGGTTTTTATAGGGGTTGTTTGGCTATGGTGGTAGTAGAAGGGTAAGATAGAAAATAATATATGAGTTTTGTATTTTAGTTCTTTGGCATAAACTAAAATTAATTTAAAGGTTTTTTTGTTTAGAGATGCATTTTAAAACTTTTTGCCAAGAAATTATTTTTTACCAACAAATTTAAAATTACTTTAAAATCACTTTATAAAAAGCTGCAGCTATTCCAAATAATTTGTAAGAGACTTTTAAGATAATTATAACTTTTTTATGAAAATAATTATAAAATTGTTATGCAAAATTATTATAATATATTTGCTAGTAATCTTTTTGATTCTACCCAACACTCTGATTTGAACCAAACTTAAGAAATCTGTATTCAGGTTGACCCAAAACTTAAAATAAACTAAAAAATTGACTGAATTATCATTCAATTTTGAATTAACAGTGTTTGATTTGGGCTAAGTATGTCATTTTGAGATTAAACATGTCATATTTAGATTAGTTGCATCGCATTGATCTAAAAAAAAATATATGAAATTTTTCTAATAAATTAGTCAAATACTTTGATCAACATGATAAACAGTTCATATTCGAGTTGAGTACATCCGGGTATGGTTAACTTCGATTTTGATCTTAACCCAACCCACCATTTCTAATTGGAGAGATTATTCTATGCGGTGTCTGGACTCATCTGGAGGGCATTTCGGACATGCCATGTCACCAAATGCATCGTGCATTGAGTGACATGACGAGTCCGAATTGGTCTCCAAATACGTCAATACATTGGGTAACGTGGTGCGTTCTAAATGACCTCCAGATGAATCCTGACACTTCAAGTAATAATTTTTCTTCTAATTATACCCTTAGCTAATATAAACTTGCTGGCCAAGCAGTACATAGCGTACAAAGAAAGGGACAAAATCTGCCGGACAAAGCCGACCTCTTTGATTTTCTTTGTGGTCTGCTTTCCAATGTTTGATTCAGTAATTTATATATATATATATTTGTTTGAACCTTTATTTTATATTTTTTTTTCTTAATTTTAATTTTTTGTTACTCAAACCTTCTATCAGTTAAAAGTCAACAGCGCGTTATGAGAAAAAAAAAAATTCTATTAAAAATAATTATTATCATGTGATGTGATTTAAAATTTAATATTTTGTTGAAGTTATTATAAATGAATGCTTCTCATTATTGTTACCAAAAAAATCGTTCAAACTAAAAAAAAAAAAGCAAGTACATAGTCAAATTGAACATCCCGAGCAGATGAACTCAATAACACAAAATTCACTTCAATTCAAGCATAGATGAGCCCAAATCAAATAAACAAAGCACTCTTGAAAGCTTCAAAGCATTAATTGAATGATCAAATAATATCAAAATATGTCATGCTTCTAGTCAAGTCGAGCAGCTCTACGAGATGAATCCAACAAGCCTAAGATAGCCGAATTTTGAAGTCATTATTAAATGCTCAATACACTTTATGATCAAGGGAATTACTATGAGCCGTCTGATTGAACACTCCAAATCTATCTTAGAACTTCTCCATATTTACTAAGATGTCACTATCAAAAAATTATAAATAACATCTCATTCTTTACCTGAGGGGGGAAAAAGGAAGGAGGGAGAAGAAAAGATATATAAGGGTTAAAGAATCCTAAAGCGTCACCCCGGCACAATCATCATTGAATCCATGTCACCAGGTTGTTCCTAGTTAATATCCCCCGGACCATTGCCATCAGACCTCTATTTTGCAGCCATTAACGAGCCTTCCTCTACTGTCGCTCATCTACTACGGTTCATTCGACCACTGTTGCATGACTACGGTCTTTTCGACCTCCATCGCCCTATTATGGTCCTCCTGATCACCTTAATTCGCCTACCAAATATAATCCTTCCGACCTCTATCACCCGCCAACTACAGTCCCTCCGACAACATTGACAGACTACAATCTTTCTAACCATCACTGTATGTCGAATATAGTCCTTTTTGACCTCTATCGTCACTGACTATAATCCCTTTGACCACCATTGTCTGGCTGCAATCCTTCCAACCACTGTCGTTCAACTACAATCCCTTCGACCATCGTCACCCAACTACGGTACTTCCGACCTTTGTTGCTCGCCAATTACAGTTCTTCTGACCACCATCGCCTAACCAAGGTCCTTCTAACCTTTGTTGTCAGCCAACTATGGTCCTTATGGCCATTATCATCCGACTATGACCCTACCAACCAAACAAGCATGATAACATGCTCTTGATAATAGCTTTCTTGTCATTCTCTCACTATGTAATGTTCTCTCTACAATGTATATTTGTTTCATTGAACCAACACCCTCCTTTGATGATGGGCATTATTTGTAATCAACCACAAATATTAGTAGATTCATTTAGACTGAGCAAGCCTCATGATTTTTTCCTCTTTTCAAGAGTTTCTACGTAAAAACTTTGGTGTCTCTTATGAATGTTGCACCATTCTATCTTACATGTTCGTGTGCTTGATTTTCATGCACAGCTAGGACGCTAAATTTATATTTCTCCACCACTACGAATATTCCAGGACATAACACTCATGATATAAAATATTTTAATGTGTTTTGTTAGTTGATTTCTTTAATAAGTATTATATTTATTGTAGTAGCGAAAGAAATTATCGCGTTAATATTATATGAAAATCAAACATATACGTAGATAGATAAATTGTGTGACTAATTAAGGATATGATTTTTTTTTTTTTTTGGTGAAAAAAAAAAATTAAAAGGGAAAAATCACAAGCTTGATTCAGTTGAAATGAATTTGATTAATTTAATACACATAAATTATGAAAGATGACTTATATGATTAAAATAATAGATATCTTGAAGCGTCGAAGTTATCATCAAGATAACGATGATCAGTATAATTGGTGTTCATGTTAGTTAACAACTTTATTGGTGATGGTGGGCATCAACATGTTACGATGTGGGGTGTCGTCGATGTCATTGGGAATGGCATACATTAGCTTTGCTAGTAATGATAGTTGGTAGCATTATTGATGATGTCGAGTATTGATATTATTGGAGATAACATACATTTTGTCTTGGTGGCAGCAACAAGAATCAATATTGGTCAATAATTGATGATAGACATCTGATGCTACAGAGAAAGCTCTTGATTTTCTCAACTATAACCTTTCTTAGGGCCTCATTCCCGACCTCCTTAATCTGCAAAACTTTTTCAATTTATAGATATTTATAAGGGGTAACACTGTCATTGCAAGGTCCCAAGTCCTGTATGAGAAAAATAGAGGGTTGTATTAGGTAATCAATAACCAACGTAAAACTTGTCAAATAATCATAACATGAATCCTTTAATAGATATTTAGATGGGGTATTATGATCATTTTGACACTCACTAGAGAATGATCATTCTTTTTTACCGCACATTATAATTTCAAAGTTGTTTAATTTAGGTTAGTCGGATTAGTTTCGTCGATAAACTCAATTCAACTATAAGCATGCATGATTAGGAGAACATTTGGTCTGTTTAATAGTCTAGAGCATCTTTCAACTATGCTTTTAGGTGTTTGATTTAGATCAATCTAAACTCGAGTCAAGAAATTCATAGTATCACTTATTTTGTCACATTAAAAATACCCCAAAGACTATAAATTTATTAAAAATAGAGTTCACATTATTCAGAGCTAATTCCATAAATTTCATATAAAATGCTTGAATTCTTTACGATCAGATAATTTCATATATAATGATTGTTAAAATTCATTCAATTATTCAGTAACGCGCATAAAATTTCACACTTGTGATTTTCTTAGTATTTTTTAGCATTATCATTATTACTATATTATAATATTTTCTTATTCATGTATTATTATTATTTGTCAAAGAGAAAATTAGCATAAAGCAAGATTAAGATGATTATATATTAGATACTTTATAATTATGAAGTTGATCTTTTTTTATTAGATTTAAATTAGAATTTGACTCTTAATATGACACAATGAAGAAAAAAAAATTCATGTAGCTGACCCCACATAGTAGGATAAAGCCTTAATATCATTGTTTGTTGTATTATTTTAGTTATGAAGATGCCGTAATGAATTTCGTTTTATAATTTTCAAAATTCTAGCATATAATTTTTATGAAGGTGGTTGTGAAGTTATTGTGAAAAAAAAAAAAAAAAAATCTTTTTTGAAGGCTCCGTAAGTATTATAATTTTTTTTTCGATTTATAACAACCCTTTTACAACTTCCACATATTAGTAGTACTGATTGGATAAGATATCTTCCAACTACAAAAATTTTGTAGCGAGAAAAAATTAAGAAAGTAATATTCAAACGAAAGTGTGATTACTGTCTGAAAAATAAAGCTGTCAGAAAATTGTCCCAAACATGCGCTAAGTTCATACTCTTAAGAATTCTCATATTATGAGAAAAGATGTTAAAAGACAAACATTTAATTAGTTGTTACCAAAATTTTCTTATTACTTTCTATAAATTTTATAAAAAACAACTAATAATATATAAAGCATTAGCATTTGGTTGGTGACTTCTTATTTTTATCACTAATGGAGAATAAAAAAAGATGTTGAACAGCTAAGGTCTTAATAAATAATATTCTAAGGTAATGATCCTATCTAAATTGATTAATTTTATTTTTATGTAAAAAAAATTAAGTTTTTTTTTAACTCCACATGAATTAATTATTGTTCTTTCATTTTGAAATCATAAAACCAAAAGAAAATAATTTCTAATGTTTTTAAATTTATTTGAATCAGTCGAGTTATGAACTTATGATTCATCGCCACATGTCGTCTCCAATGACCTTGCACCACTGTCCCTGATCCATTTCCCCGCATCATCAATTTTGAAAAAAAAAATAATATTTTTCTCATAATAACTTCACAATCATATTTATAAAAAATTATAGTAATCTCATACTCTTAAAACTTTACATTTTCATATGGGGTTGAATCGATTAAATTTATGCTTCGTTTGTGTCACATTCCAAAATCTATATTAGAAGAATTACATCTGTCTTCCATTTTAACCATTTAACTTGTGCTTATCAATGAAAAATAGAAAAAGAAAATATGATTATTTTTATATCTTATCATGAGCCTCATATCATAGGATCCTTATCATTTCCTAAAAATATATAAAACCACGTTATGATAAAATTAATGCAAGATAAAAGAGAACAATAAGCTATAAATCATATAAGAAAATATATGCATTAATGTATATACATATTATATATATCAATTTATCCTTCTACAGTTCGTCACATCTCAATCTATTACATTATCAGTCACAATATCAATAATAGTCAACGATATTTATGGAAGTAACAATATTAGTATCATGATCAATAATGTAAAATAGTATTAATAACAGTCACAATATCAGTACAGTGTTCGTAGCAGTGCTGGTATTAGTATTCAAATATTCAATGAGTGCATCTTAAAGGTATCATGCTCCTGCACTTATACTCCCAATCAATGTACTCCTTATAATTTCTCTTGAATCACGTGAATTTATTGCCCCGCTCTTTATAAATTTCAATCAATCTCCAGCTTCTTATGACTCACAATCAGTGAATCAAGTGGACAAATATAATATCAAGTGGGGTTATTATATCATGTATCTCATCTAATTTAGTTCTTCATTTAAAATACAATAAACATTTAGAATAATCAAATATATAACATATCTAAACTTGCATGATGACAGCTTATGAAATGAGTAGATAATATATTTTTTGCAGATTTATGAGAGATAAAATTCATAAAAATGAAAATAATTGAAAACATAAGTGAGAGATTAGTCACTTACAATAAATATATCAAATATGTAACATGAATGACTAACAAATATGATCTAAAGATCTTTCTCCTCCCTCTCTCTTCTTCCCATCTTCAATTTTTTTCTTGACCAAGTAACCAAGTGCGGGAATCGGTGGACTGAGGCAATGATATATATATATGCTATTCATGACCAAATGCCGCAGCGCTTACTAGTTCAGCGTCAAAACGCTTTACTTAAGAATTTTTATATTTTTCAAATAAATTTATTTTACATATTTTAGTTATTACAGTTTAAGACTGTTTTCTACAACAAATTTTTAGCATGAAAATTTATTGAAAATAGTAAAAAAAATAATGGTCAAAAGCCATCCCAAATGAAGCTATAGATTTTGTTTGAGATAAATTTTTTATTATTTTATGAAGCAATTTTTTAGCACATAAATTTCAAATAAAAAAAAAAATTGTTTGGGGAGGAAATGGTGAACAAGATTTTTGAAATTTCATTTCATCTGGATAAAATAGGCGATTGTATGGAGCTTACTAAAAGTCCTATTGGTATGTCCATAACATCTATGGCTTATAATATGCAATTTGATTTGGAGGATCCAATAACTCAAGTATATAAACTCAAACTCAACCCACGGGTTAGGTTTTTCTTGTGGCGTGTATATAAAGGGATTATTCCTACGGAGTTATAGCTTAAAATTATTTCACATATGCAAAAATCATGTAAGAATGCTTTATGGAAAAGTTAGATGCAGTATGGCGTCAGTTCAACTGTTTGAAATTGTTCAACTCAGTGGTGTTTATGCATAGACCTAGAAGATGCAACAAAGCAGCTCATTATTGTGCTCAGTGTGCTATATAAGGACGTTTTTTGTGGAAGTTTGGGGAAGGGATTTCTTTGTATTCACCTCAAAAATTGCTTACTATTCTTGATGAAGACTACTTTTTGGGTTAGTTTTTTCTTAGGGGCCAGTGTGGTCGTGTGCTTTTTGATTTGGTTTCTCTTATAATTGTTGATTGTTGAATGCAATAAAATAACTTTTTAAATTATAATAAAAAAATTACTTCTCAACATAAATTGTTTTTTGAAAGCTACTAAAAATGAGAAAATAAAAATTATGATTGTAATTACTAATTTAAAATATAAAATAATAAAAAAGCTGTCAAGAACTAAGTTTAAAATCACAAGATGTAGACCTTTGCCAAACTCAGCTAAAAATAAAAAAATAAAAATAAAAAATCGATTAAAGTCATAGGCAAATGAATCACATTAATCGGATTGGTCACTTTTTCTCATGCACGCGGCTATCTCCTGGCTGTACTCAAGCCGCTAACAGCCTCAAATCTAACGGCCAGGATCCGTCACGGCCAGAACCCAAAAATATCTAGCCGTAGCTGTCATATCCTATAAATAGAATCGCCGGCCGAGCAACTCCGTCTAAAGTTCTTTCCTCTTTCGATTTCGTCCATTTCCTCAAGACTTTTAGCTCCGCCTTTCGGCCCTTTCCTCGTTCGCTTTCGCTTTCGCATTAGACCGCGAGAGGAACCCTAACCCCGGAGGAGTGAGGCAAGCAGAGGAGGATCGGAAGAGAGAGAGAAAGAGAGTGAAGCGAAGGGGTCGGGATCCGCCATGGCGTCGCAGAAGGAGCGGGAGAACTTCGTCTACCTCGCCAAGCTGGCCGAGCAGGCCGAGAGATACGATGGTATGGTGTTGATCCCGACCGATCTGGCCAGATCCCGATGCTTGGGGTAAGTTTTGCTGATGCTCCTGGCGTTTTCGTTTTATTTGGATGCAGAGATGGTGGACGCGATGAAGAAGGTAGCGAAGCTTGACGTGGACTTGACGGTGGAGGAGCGGAACCTGCTCTCGGTAGGGTACAAGAACGTGATCGGGGCGAGGAGGGCGTCGTGGAGGATTTTATCTTCGATTGAACAGAAGGAGGATGCTAAGGGGAATGAGCATCACGTGAAGAGGATTAGGGAATATAGACAGAAGGTGGAGTTGGAGCTCACCAATATCTGCAGTGACATCATGTCTGTGATTGATGAGCATCTTATTCCTTCGTCGTCTGCTGGGGAGTCCTCGGTGTTTTATTATAAGATGTGAGTTAGATATAGGATATGAAGGTTGCGTTCTGGCGGATCTGATGAATTCTCGTGTTTTCTAACTTGAATTTGCTTCCTATTTTAATTAATAGGAAAGGTGATTACTATCGTTATCTGGCGGAGTTCAAGACGGGAAACGATAGGAAGGAGGTGGCTGACCAGTCACTGAAAGCTTATCAGGTTTTTATTTCCGAACCTTCTCTACTCTTCTAAAGATAAGCAGTTCAGTGCTTGAATTATTTTCTCTTCCCTTATGCTGATCTTGTATGAACTATTTAATTATGCTGTTAGTTGAATGAAAGAATTATCAATCAGGTATTTTACTCTTTTTTGGCACAAAAATGTGGTTCCTTTTGAATTTACTATGTCAATCTCATGATTGTGGACATGTGTATCTAACTTTCTGAAATTTCTAAGTACTTTGTGTCCTGAGTGATCTCCTAATTTATCTTTTATGAGCTGTTGAGTATTACAGCAATGATAAAAAGAAATCTGACCCACCATCTTATGTATGATAGTTTTTAGGGTATAAATGGAATTTCCCATCTCTTGTTACGTTACCACCGTTTGTAGCCAACTTTTAACTTATAAACACGAAATCAAACATCATGGAGAGAATTTATTGCTAATGTAGACTGTATTTACTGCAACATTTATAGTTTGATTTAATATATGTCGTAGATGGTCCATCTTTTTCTCTGTCTCTCTCTCTCTCTCTCTCTTTTTCTAAATTTGTATTCATGTAAGTAGATGCATTCTAACTTACTTTGGTTTATATGAAGCATTGTTTTGCATATTATCTTCATTGTTGGTGTCTCTAAATGTATGATCTTCCTTTTTGCAGACAGCTTCTAGTACAGCCGAGGCTGATTTGTCTCCTACTCACCCAATTAGATTGGGTTTGGCATTAAACTTCTCTGTTTTCTATTATGAAATAATGAACTCACCTGAAAGGTTGGAGTGCAGTGTTTTTAGCTGAGTAATCTTTACCAATCTAAACTGCCAATCTCATGCATTTACAATGTTCTTACCAGGGCTTGCCATCTTGCAAAGCAAGCCTTTGATGAAGCTATTTCCGAACTTGACACCTTGAGTGAAGAATCTTATAAAGATAGCACTTTGATCATGCAACTTTTGAGGGATAATCTGACCCTGTGGACTTCTGACATTCCTGAAGATGGAGGTAAAATTAGCAACTTTGGTGGCTTTTTAACTGTATTATTTTAACTACCTTTTTGTTTACTTAAATCTCTTCTGTTATTCTAGATTTGTAAAGTGAGTATTAGGTTTGGTAAATTGGACCAGGATCAGAGTTTACTTTTGCTAATTGAAAATTTTGTCGAATTTATTGTCATACTGATCTTCCAAGATCAAGTAATTCTTCTTAACCTCTTTCATCACACCTTAATCACTTTCTTATTCTGTCTTAAGACAATGCCATATACATTTTTACATCAACTTTCATCTTCTTTCTGTTATATTTTTTCTGGGACATTGTGGTGCTACTATTTTTTTTTTTCCGGATAACGAAATTTCTATTCATTATTTATTTCTTATGTTATACATATAAATTGCAGTAATGTATTCTGTGTTTACTATGTCAGGTTAGTTTAATTTTCTTCATAAATAAGATGAAGAAATAAATAGTTGGGCGATGCAACCTTATACAAATATTTCTTATGTTATACATTACTCTGTCAGATAGTTGGGAGATGCAACCTTATACAATTCATGTTGGAAGAACCATAGGGTCTTCGTGAAATGATTTGCTTCATATTGTCTCCTTGGTTGGTTTTTTTAGTATTCTAATCCAGTGTTTATTTTTAAAGTTTTTAACTTAAAAAATGAATTACTAAAACTTAGAAAAATTTGACTATATTATATGGATCTTAGTGTTAGAAAATAAAAAAAATTGGTGATATCCAACTCAAAGTGTTAATATGTGTGTGATAAACTTCTAGGAATAGAGCAAATCATGGTAATATTTAGGAAATTTTTGTGGTAGTATTTGTTGAAGGCAAAGTATTAGAAAATGGATTTGGATGATTTGGGAACGTTCAATGAGATTAAAGATTCTTTAGCATTGCATTTAGAATTGTTTGAAACTTTTAAGTTGTAAAAATTCAACAAGTTGAGTTCCCTCCTCACGCAGCACCCACTAGAAATGAATGGACATGGAGGAGTCATAGAGTGCCACCTAATATTTATGATAAGGCTATTGATGACCGATGAAGAAGAAAGAGTTTATAGTAACTTGAAACACAAGGGATTGCTAGTCAGTTACGCTTGTGGAATTATTTTATGCAAATTTTGCACTCGTACCATAATTTTTATTCAATGTAAATATTAGTTAAAAATTAGCAGATTGGTTCCCCAAAATTTGTCAGCAATTATTTGTAGATTAGATTTTGAAGATCTATGCCAAGTGCATGCTTTAACATAGCATATTATTAGATATTGACTTCCATAAGTCTTTCTTGTATGCCATTAATGGACCTTTTCCCTTTCGATCTTTTGTTGATTTAGTAGCTTTATGATGTTCTGCAGCCAAAGTCTAGGCTTCCATTAGGAACCAAGTTTTTTTTGCTTAAGCCAGGTAAGGTATCTAGCTTCTTGAAAGATAGAATGAAAATAACATTCTTGTTATCAAATTGAAGATCTAGATACTATTCAAGACATTTTAAATAGATAAAGAGCATTTCTGTAAATTTATTCAAAAGATACAACAACATTTATATTAGAGTGAGCTGCAAAACTTCTTTTTGGAGAAAATAATATAAATATTTGAAACATAACAGTATAGGCAGCCTATAATCATCAATGTTGACCAATTTTTAAGCATTTTGAATCAATTTAGCGAATCATCATTAGTCATTTGTTAAAGTAGTGGCTTTGTAATTTAATTCCAAAGCGGCAGGCTTCCAAACCGGGTGGGAAAACAAAAACCGAAAGGAAAACCGGGCAGGAAACCGGCTTTTTTACTGCTTTTAAAAGCAGCTTTCTAGTGAAAAAAAAAAAACTGAAGCCTAAGTTCTAATATTTTCATCATTGTTTTAATTTTTTCACTTTAATTTGAGAAAAAAAAATCTATTGGATTTTACGTGACATTCGGCACTTACAGGTGACGAGTCAATGAAAGATGGCTCCACAAGAGCTGGTCCTGGCGAAGATGCAGAGGTAATGCTTTCCTATGTTTAAATCTTAATGGGCCTAGACGTTATTGAATTTTTTTTTTTTTAGATTAGTGGAAATATAAAGAATTTGTATTGCACTAATCTTAAAGCAATACAAATTAATATATCCCAATTTCCCAACAAATTGTTTTCCAATATCCATCATCATTCTAGGAGAGATTATTATTTGCGGTGTCCAGACCCAAAGTTCTGTCGCAGTAAAAGCACAGTGATGAACAGTAACTTCATTTTTACTGTTCACAATCACTAAACGTGACGATTCTCCCGTCCGAACGCCGCATGTTATAATCTCTCTCATTTTTGTATGGTAATATTTTCTTACAATGTCTAAAATGTGAAAAATCTGATTTTGCAGTGAATTACGGACATCTAGTCTAGAGTATAAAAACCCGAGGGTTTGGACGCCGAAGCTGTCCTTAGTTCTCTGTTGTTTTCGTTGAGATTTATGAATGAGTATATATATATTAAGTTTAATGAGCTCCCGACTGTTGGACCTGCAGCTCATTTGGGATTTGTTTGATGGTCTCTACGTTTGCAGTTTCTCTCATTGTTGTTTAGATGCCCGCTAAATTAATGTTTGAACGCTTTTTGCAAAGTGCCTGCCTCTCAACCATTTCTGCTGAGATTTTCGCTTTTTTTTTCACATGAAAATATGATCCTTTTATGACACTCACATTAAAATATGATATTTTAGAGTTGTTTGAATGAATGTAAAACAAATGCATGATTATTTATTTTATTTTGTTTGATTTGAAGTAACGTGAATGTAATGTAAACTGTTAGAAGGTTGTGGCCAGTGGTACCTTGTAAGGGGCGAATTATCACATCCGGCGTCTAAATCGTCCGGAGGCGAATCTGGACGTGCCATGTCACCCGGACCCACCTGGATGCACCGGGGTCCGGGGGACGTAATAATTTTCCCTGGCAAGGGCGGCGGCCGGTGGAGGTTACCTGGTAACGGTTGGTGGTGCATTTCCAATGTATTTGAAAATCACTCAAATATAAGGAATTTCAAATATAAGATTTTTTTTTTTTTTTTTTGAAATTTACGTTTAGGTATTAATGAATTTAAAATATAAGTTCATTTATATAATAAACTTAAAAAGTTTAGCAAAGTTTAATGAAGATTGTGAAAATAAGATTGATTATAGTGACCTTAGCACCCTAGATGAAAATAAAGATTTATATTTTTATCAGCGTATTAGTAAAATTGAAGTTAGAGAGGCTTTAAAGAAAATGAAGGGTAGAAAAGCTGTTGGACCTGATGATATTCCAATAGAGGTGTGAAAATGCTTAGGAGATGAAGGAATTTCATAGCTTACTAAACTTTTTAATACTATTTTGAAGACTAAGAAGATGCCAGATGAGTGGAGAATGAGTGTGTTAATTCCTATTTTTAAGAATAAAGGTGATGTACAAGATTGTGCGAATTATAGAGGTATTAAGTTAATGTGTCATACTTTAAAACTATGGGAGTGAGTTTTGGAGCATAGGTTGCGGCGTGATACTAATGTTTCTCAAAATCAATTTGGATTCATGCATAGAAAAATTATTTTTATGCGACCTGGAACCCGAGAAGATTGTACTCATGAAAGCATATATGAACTGGGTTCATACAGTATGATCCATAATTAAAAAAATTATTTTTACTTGACTTGGAACCCGAGAAGATTGTACGAGTTGGAGTAGCTCCAGTAGAAGATAAGATTAGAGAAAGTCGCCTTAGATGGTTTTGGTCACATAAAACGGCGGCCTTGTGATGACGTCCCGGTTAGGAGAGTAGAGGTATTAGATTTGACTTATGTTAAGAAAGGTAGGCGTAGACCTAAAAAGATTTGGTTAGAAAATATTAGGAATGACCTTTCTTATTAGATTTAAACGAGAATTTGACTTTTAATAGGACACAATGGAGAAAAAGGATTCATGTAGTCGACCCCACGTAGTGGGATAAAGGCTTGATGTTGTTGTTGTTGTTGTAATGTTATTTAGAATAAGTTAAATTATTTTTACAAGAAACTGTTCTATTTAGAGCTGTAGTGATGAGATTGGCTAAAACATGGCTTGCACCAAAAATTTGGCCTGATGTCTCAAGTGTTGAGAGTGATTTTAAATTTATTAAATTTTTATTTAGAATAGTATAATTTAAGGTATTTATATATTATACTTATTAATAATTAAAAAAATATCATAAAGCTTTCCTATTGAGTTTTACTCATAAAAAAATACTTGTATCTCTTACCATTTTTATTTATGCGTGTTAGATATTTGCACCAAATTAAGACATTAAACACACATTCTACCGTAGCAAATTTCTTCTTAATTTATTTTCATATTTGGCTCAATATTTATCAAGCAAGTAAAACACAAACTACTTAAATTAGGCTTTGTTTGAGACAACATTTTTAGCTTTCTATTCTAAAAATTTTGAACAATTATTATATCCTCTGAACGAACCTAGAGGAACGTCCGGACGGAGGTCAAATCTCACCAAAAAATGAGAAATACCAAACAAATACCGAACAATACCAAATAATATCATCACGTGAAGACCCAATACCGAGTTATACCAAACAATACCAAGTTATATAAAAGTTGTACCAAGTTTTTCCTAGGAAAAACTCGGCACAACTCAGTATAGCTCGATATAACTCGGTATTGGTCTTCACAAAGCGGTATTCCTCGTTATTATCAAATAATACCTAGCAATACCGAGCAAATATTGAATTTTTTCACGGGATTTTGCCTCCGACCGGACCTTCCTCTACGTCCTTACACCGGACCTAATAAAAGTTAAAAAAATTTTAATCCAAAAAAACTGATTTAAAAAGTAATAAAGAAGCTATACCAAACGGAGCTTAAGGCTTCGTTTGGGACGGCTTTTTTATTGATCTCTAAAACGGAATTTTAGTACAAATTTTTTTTTATTTTTGTATTAAAACTCCGTTTTAGAAAGCAGTAAAAAAATCGTCTCAAACGAAGCCTAAGTCAAATACCAACTGCTCAATAATATGTTATAATATCATAACATGGCCTTAAAAGTGCTATGCTTCCACAAACCCTATGCTCTAATACATATGATATGTTAACAAAAGATATGAAAATACAGTTGACATCAATTATTAATAACATAATACATAAAAATGATTTAAAAATTTTTAACTTGAAGATAATTTTTTTAAATCTATATAATAGGAATATATTTATTTAAAAAAAAAAAAACAGCCTAAGCAATCACAGCATAAGATTCTAAGAAATTTTTACTTTGGTAATAGACTGTTGTGTACCAAATTTTGGTGTAGTACTGTCTTTGTGATCTTCAAATGTTGAAAATTTGTAACATATTAAAGTTTCGTTTGGGACAGCTTTCTTTCTACTTCTTTAAGCAGCTTTTTAATATAAAAACTTTATTTATACTAGAAAGCTACTTTAAAAAGCAATGAAAAAGTTGTCTCAAACAAAATCTAAATGGCTCAATTGGAAGCAATTGCCAAAAGTATCCATGTTTGGTTCAAACATCAACAACTGATGGAACTGCTATCTAATTAGCTTAATTCCATGCAAGTTCTGATAAGTGCTTATCAAATGCAGACACCTTCTATGGTCTGATGACTTCCAAAGATTAAGACAAATAGAAAGTAGATAAGACTATGTGAAAATTCTGTAGCTAAGAGAGAAGAACTTCTTAACTGGCAGATGAACATGTTCTAAGGAATAAAATAAACTTGATTTTCTTCGAGCCGAAATTTAAAAGCTCTCTGTAACAACAGTATTCCCGCGGCGCGAAGATGATGTCGCTCTCGCTCCAGCTTTGAATAAGGAGGTTAGTGTGATGCAGCTCGAGGGATGCGCGGCCTCACCGGCGTCTTTGATGGACTAATCCTATAGAGAAGTAAGAAATAAGTTCTATAATGGAATATGCCATTGCAACTACCATAGCAGGAATGAATGGAGAATGATGATGATGATGATAAATAATCATAGTAATATGTGGCATTATTGATAATCTGAAAAACTTACCTAATTTGAAGAGATCCAAGAAACATGCCACTACAGTTCAGAGCAAAAATGGCACTCTCAGCCTGTCATGAAGAGAGATTAAACTTTTAGTTGCTAGACTCCATTTTGTTATATGTGATGAGAATTTGATATCGACTATAAATTCCATAAAATCCTATGTAATGAGAACTGACATCACAAACTTAAGCATAGTAAAAAAAAAAATCATTACAACAACAATAACATCATCAAACCTTTATCCCGCTAAGAGTCAGATTCTCATTTAAATCTAATAACGAAATATTATTTCTAATATTTTCTAAGTTTTTTTTTTAAGTCATTGGAAGGCTGCCGTTTTATGCGACCAAATCATCTAAGGCGAATCTCTCTAATCTTATCTTCCGCTGGAGCTACTCCAACCTTTTCACCTATATGCTCATTTGTATCATGTCTCTAATAGTAAAGCCACTCATCTACTTGAGCATCCTCATCTCTGCAACATTTAACTTAATATTATGCTTCTCTTTTAATGACCAACATTCTGTGACATAAAGCATTGCAGGTCTCATCACCATCTTATAGAATTTTTCTTTAATAAAAACAATAATTAGAAGAACATACACATGCAAGTTAAAAACAGTTTTTTTCCAGAAAAGCTCACCGAGTTTCTACATTTACATGTTCACATTTCAAAAAACAGGCAACATAACCAGATAGTAAGAAATATAGGACTTCCTCATACCAATTAAGGTTTCATTTGGGACGGCTTTTTTACTGCTTCTTAAAGAAGCTTCCTAGTACTAAAAAGCAGCTTCAAGAAGCAGTAAGAAAGCCGTCCCAAACAAGGAGGCCTAAATGTAGAAAAATCACCTGGACAAACTCAACAAACGCTATCCGAGTGGAGTGCACATTATCGCCGAGGAGTCGCAGCCGAGAAACCTATGTAATACAAATTTAAGTAAAAATGAATTTGAAATCCTTCAGAATCCATTAAAAACATGCTAAGCTTTTAACTGGCAAGAAACTGTCCTAACCTCACCACAGACTTGCTCAAAGAACTGTTTTACTTCTGATTGTGTAACCTTCAAAAGAAGATCATTAAATAAAAATGCATGATCAAGCTACAGTTTAATATGTAACAAACAGACGATTGTTATCATAGAGAAAAAAGATGTATTATATTCACCTTCTTGTCAATATTAGTACAGTAAACCGTCCTCACAACCATTTCTCTTTCATCATTGGACTGCCACACTTTCAGCAATAAGAAAATATTCTACAAAGCTAATGTAAACAACTTAGCAAAAATTTTATTAGAAAACATATGCAAACCTTCGGTAGAAATTTAGGATTCACAGGCAAAATTGCAGTCTTTGAAGGTAAGACTTTGACAGGATAGTAACCTAGTAGAGTTCCTCCAATATTCAGGGCTACCATTGCACCCTCTATCAGCAAAACAAAAGGCACCATTGTTAAAAGATGAGTAATAGCATGAATCAACACTACTGATATAGCAAACCATGAGCAATTACAACTTACCCTCATCAGCGAACTCGATAAACGCAAATCGAAGGATCGAGTGGGGGTCACCACAAACCCGGCAGTCAACTACCTTCAGCATGAGAATTTCAAAACAATCAGGAGGCAAGAAATTTGATATAATTTACGCTCTATTTTTATTGATGTGAAAATAATGAAATACAACATCAAGCCTTTGTCCCACTATGTGGGGTCAGCTACATGAATCTTTTTTGTGTCATGTTAAAAGTCAAATTCTCTTTTAAATCTAATAAAGAAATATCATTTCTAAGATTTGACTCTACTTTCCTAATCGGAAGGCCGACGTTTAATGTGTCCAAACCATCTAAGGCGACTCTCTTTAATCTTATCTTCCACTGGAGCTACTCCAAACTTATGAAAATAATGAAATGAAATACAAATAATTTTGAGATTGATTATGAATCTGCAACCTGTTATTTGAATTTTTCAACCATAAATTTTCATTTCCTTACATTCAAATTCCGAGCAACTAAAGATAGCCTCAAGGGAAGTAATGGTTAAAAACATCAGCACAGCTTCAACATAAGTAACAGCACAGAAATCATGAAGGGAGGGATTGAGTGTATAAGTGCCTTGCAGAATGTGTTTCATGGTGGAGAAGATTTAGAATTCATGTTTTGAGATAGAAAAAAGCTTTATAATGGAAAATTTTAAGTCCACTTACGCCCAAATTTCCATAATAGATATGGAAAGGGAAACAAAATATGACATCATCATCGAAAAAGATATGAAGAATCTATATCGAAAATTGGATGTCAAATATTAACACCCCTAATCACGATAACTACGATGGTACAATAATGATATATTGTAAGAATCAAAGATAGATTATTCCACAATAGCCCACCTCATTCAACCATTTAAGCATGTTAGGGAATTTTCGTGGGTTATGGTCAAATTCAAACAGAATCACCAATTTAACTACATATGAAATCAATTAAGCAATTTAAATTTTAATTAGAAAAGTAACTAGTACTGAAGTTATAGATCAATATATTTTCAAGATTTTGAAAAAAATTGGTGCAATTATTTCTTTGAGAATTGATAAAAACTTACACAGCCAGTTGAAAATCTCTCAAGTAAATAATTAGATCATATGTTGAATGTAAAAAAGGAGCAAAAAATAATATATCAAAAAATAAAAAATAAAAAATAAAAAACTAATAGATATCGCCTTTTTGCGGGGTGCAACGGGCGCCAACATGAAGCATGCAATTTGCATGACATGAGCATCAAAACAACTAGGAACAACTTAGTCATGGAAGAATATGAAGGACAAGAAAAATAATCTTCAATCAACTCTACCATGATCAATCTTTTATACATTGAACATTATTAAAAATAGCTCAAAACACTTATCTAAGTATTACTTATGTGATGTATTGTTGTATCGCTTTTTAACATCATAATTTCAATATGCAAAGTAATCTATAGCAAAATAATACATATCAAAATGTTGAGAAGTGATCCTCAAGTGAAGTTGTTTCTTTGACCTTCATCATATAAATATGGCTCGCAAAAAATAACTCCAATCACCATTGTTAACCTTATTCCAACTATTTAAAGTAGGTGAGAAAAAATTATACTTAAAAGAACCATGACTACCTTTTTTGAGGCCACAACACATTAAAAATTAAACTCTATTGGGATTGCATATTACAAGATTATGAATTCAGCAACTTTTGCTTCATAAAAAAAAAAAAATTTCAAGCACCAACTTGTATTTTTATTAAGATTGAAGAAAAAAACAAATGCTCAATATACCAAAATTTATAATTTATCACAGCTGCTCTCTATAAAGTACCAAATGTATGAGGCTCACATCATTGTAGGTCCTAGGCAAAGGTTGATGTATGTTGTCTTACTTCTCCATGAAAAGGCTATTTTGGTGATTTAAAAAAGTGATCTTTAGGCAATGAAGTAGAAAAATTGAGCATTGTGCATATATGTGCAAAAAATGCAAGGATCTAGCGCCTTTTAGCACTTGTTTTTTTTTCTGTTTGTGAGGTGTTTGGTAATTGAATTCGACACAGTGAGAAGTTCTTATGAGATACCTTTGAACGTTGCTATGCAAGTTAGGGAGAAGAAAATTCAGTTCAGTAAGGGGCGAGACTACACTAAGGAAGACGTCCGTTAAAGTGAGCTCGTCACTAAGAAAGCCGGTATCAGAAAACCCACTCTTTTTAACACCTACTATCAAGCTTACAAAAAATATTTGTGAGCTCAATAAATGATAGACACTGTGAAAGAAAAAAAAAAACAGAAATAACAACGACAGAAAAGAGTTGTCCATTATTTCTACAGGCATGATTTTGAAAAAAAAGGAAGTATGAAGTATACATGACCAGTTTGACAACATAAGTCCTCAAACAGCCAAAAGCTTCTCATTCAAAGTTGACGTGCTAATACTTTAGAAAGCCCGGGAAGCCACAACTTGCACATTAAAAAGAATAATAGTTTTAGGTGTTAGATAAAGTTCTAGGTGTTAGATATGTAAATAGCATGAAATAAACTGGCATGTATGTAAATCCCCCAAAGAAAAAATAACGGCGACAAATAAAATGGAGAAACCAGTATAGTAATCAACAACGAAAAAACCTTTAGGGCATCTCCAACAAACAAACTCAATTTTCACTCCAAAATATAGTAATACATCAAAATACAGAAACTCATCTCCAATTGAACTCCATTTTCTAACACTAAAAAAAGAATATTCCTATTATATTCTTTTTCATACTTTATTTTATATATTTTTAATCATTATTTACATTAAAAAAGAAAAAAAAACGTATAGCGGGCGAATAGTGTGACGCCAATATTGGCATCGCACTGTTCACCCGGAAGCAAATAGCGGAAAGTTTGGCATTCGGCTGGAGCGACCAAACGACGCAATACACATATTTGACATTCAACTGGAGAAGGCCTTAGGACAGAAGAAAGCTCCATATGCTTTGCTTCATTTAACAAAAGCCTACTAAACTTTGATTGCAATTGCATGTAACACATGAAATAGGTCTCTCAAACCTATAAAGAATTTCTCAAATAAATCAAATAGCCCACAAAAAACAAAATCCTCAAATATCCTCTGAAATGAACTGGTCACAGCATTAAATCTACTAAAATAAATCAACAATGATTATCATATAGCATATGTTGTTGAACAAATATCATTCTCTAGGTTGAAGTTTGAGTGCTTACTTGACCACAAGGGGCAAACAATTCAGCAAGGTGCTCTTCTGTAACCTGCTGACCACAATGTTGTGAAATCAATGGCAGCACAGGTAAGAAACTAAAAGACCTTGACCGATAAAACACTCATAAAAAAGAATCTATTCTTAGATTTCTCACATTTTGATCAATATCAGAAACATATACAGTTCGCCTGATGCTTTCCTCCCTTTCAGCTCTCCTTGCCCTATCGTTCATCCTTCTCCTCCCCTGGTTATAACCATTCCTCCTCTGTCCAAAACCCTACAATGTTCTAATCAGATACTGAAATAAAATATTTAGCTGATAAAAACAAAAGTAACTTGATCAAACAGAGATATGACAGATTAAACAAATCATAATCTTTTCTTTAACTAATCTAATCAAAATTGAACCCTACCCTCCGATTCATCGGCTGATTGTTGGACGATCCATCACTGCTCGAATCCTTATTACTATTCCCGTAATTGAACCCATTACCACTGTTAAAGTAATCGGCCGAAGTGACGAAGACCGGCGCATCTGCAGATAATCGGCCATCGGATTTTCTCCAAGAAGGAAAGAACTCCTTCGCCGAAGGATTCAATTTAGAAAGAAGGTCTACCAACTTCCTCACATCTCTCTGATACTCCGATTCCGAGTCACAAGTCGCGGCCTTGCTGTGAATGAACTGGTTTTCAGAGCCGATCGCGTTCTCTGCCACCGCGGCCATCACCTCTTCACACAGAAAAAATTTATAAAACCTACAACTTGAACGCAGATTGGAAGAAAAAGAAGTGATTTTTCAAAGAAAGCAGATCGCTTTTCTTATTCAAACATCAAATCTTATTTGTATTTTCATAGTCATGTGCGTTGAGGAGAACTTGGAAATCTTTACCCTTTCAGAAAGGGGCCGTAGAAAGAGAAAGGGAGAGAAGAGGCGTGAGGAAGCCAAAGAGGATATCTGCTCCCTGGTTACAATAAGTAGGAAGAAGCCATTTGCAATCACGCGAGTACAAATTTTCTTGCTAAGATGAGAGTTTTTAAAGAAAAGGAAAATCTTTTTTGGACTATATAACTATATACTGTAGTGGAAGAAGAAGGAGAAGAATGGACTATTAGAAGATGCTGATGCATGTAACCAGAGGGTAGATATGTAAACCAAAATTATTACGTCAATACCCCTAAATAGCATTTGCATAAATAACTTTATATATATATATATAACACTGAAAATTGCTATAATATCAAAATTATTATTATTTTTTTGGAACGGGGAGTATCGGCCTGCTGTCACGTCAGCTTATGAAACGCTTGACGATGTCCTCTAATCTCCTCGTCTGACCTAGACGAGCAACCCACACCTATTACTATTCGTGGTCCACGCTTATTGGGGCCCCCATAGAGGGGAACTTTTATTTGGTCCGGTGAGCGTACGTAGAGCTACGTTCGGCCGGCACTAAGATCGCATGCACAAAATGAGAAATACCGAGCAAATACCAAGCAATACCAATAATAACGAGAAATATCATTATGTGAAGACAAAATATCGAGCAATACCGAGTAATCCCAAAAAATACCGAGTTTTTTTAGAAAAACTCGTTATTTTTTGGGATTACTCGTTATTGATCTTCATAGAGTGATATTCCTCGTTATTACCAAAGAATGCCTAGCAATACCGACCAAATACCGAGCAAAACCGAGTAACAATCCTCTGACCGAACGTAGAGCTACATCATATTAGAGGACGTAATAAAAGTTCCCTAGAGGGGCACTGCCGCCCGAGGGAATCGAGCACGGGTTAGGGGTTCCCAACGACACTCGCCCACCAGCCAAGCTAAACATCGGTGGGTTTAATAAATAGTATAAGTAAATAAAAAATTTATGCTTTTTTTAAAAGTTAGACTAATTCAACTGAGGAGATAGAGCCAAAATATAATTTAAATGGTTTTATAAAAAGTTTGATGAATCTGATTCTCACAATCCAAAAGGGTTTCCTCATTGGTATATTAGTCTAGAGTATTCCATTTAAAATTTGATAGTATAAATTTAAAATTATTTAATTTATTTATAAATAAAATTATATATATAATGAGGTATAGGGTTATTGTGTTTGGGTATGCTTTAAGATTGATCTACTTCGAACTCATCTGACTCGAACATGACCTTATATACTTGCTAGAAATATTGCTGTGGTATGAATCTGCTAGCATAACAAACATAGGAGGTAGCACGGGCAGACTGCAGGCAACGTGGGCAGCAGACGCGGTCAGCGGGTTTAGATGCATCATTCTGTGTCATTTTCTGATTTCCGGGTCAACCTAAACCCGAACCTAATCCCGACCTGATTTTAGAAATTGGTCAATTTGTTGAACTCGATCCAACCCGTTTCACAAACGGGTTGACCCTAACCTACAATTTTTTGGTCTGATTTGAGTCGAATTTCCAGGTCGTGTCAAATATTGACACCCCTAAGTTCCAGTATATCTTCATTGAAATCAAAGTTCAAATGATCCTGAATTTTATTATGTAATTTTCAATTCAATCATTATATATTGAGATTTATGTCGTTCATATGAATTTTATAGATTCATATCATAAGTGTTTAGTGAATTGGTCAAAATTCTAAACTCGAACTTGACCTGTCATCAACCTAGCTGACCTGACTTAACCAAATAACCCGTTTAGGATAAACAAATTAAGCAAAATGTAATTACAATTATAGCTTTCAAACTTTTTTTATTTGAACTTTTTTACTATATCATAATTAAAAGTTAATTAATCTAAACCTTAATTATCATGTAACATTCTTATGTATATATCAAAATTTTCAATTCGCAATTCATACCGGTCATTTTCTGACTGGCAGGTCGACTCATATTCAACCCATTTATTAAACGGATCAACATGAACCCGCATTCTTATTTCAGTCCCAGGTTGGATTATTGGATCATGTCTTTTTTTAACAACCCCATATGAATATACACAGCCACCCTTTAATAATAATCACAAAATATAAAATTCAATTATCTTAACGCCAATTAAAATCACTATGCAAAAAAAGAAATTTATATAAAAAAAAGGTATTAAAATTCTTTTTAATAAATGCATAAAATTTTATATCATATAATTATCTTATGACATTTATAAAAAAAACATTTTTTACATAAAATAAAATATATTCTGATAATATTAATTTATTCATTTAAAATAATTAAATTTTAAAATATTATACTCACAAATAAATGATTAAAAAAAAAACCTATTTTCTTGTGAGCAGCTCTCTTTCAGATGTGACAGCTTACCATCCAATGGCCATATTTCTATTTATTATTTAAATAAATTTGTTTAAATAAAATAATTCAAGGGGATTAAAGAAGAATGGTTTGTTAATGGTTGAGCGAGGGCAGTTGGGAAGCATATTTATAAATAAAAGTGATCTTGGGCTCGTTCGATTTGTCTTGTCGAGCCACTTGATTCGGCTATAAGCTGATCTTATTTTAAAAATCATTTGATCATCGAATTAATGCTCTGAATCACTAAAATATACTTTAAACCCTATATTTGGAACTTTTATTACGTACTTTGACCGGACGTAGCTCTACGTTCGGTCAGAGGATTGTTACTCTGTTTTTGCTCGGTATTTGATCAATATTGTTAGGTATTGTTTGGTAATAACGAGTAATACCGCTATGTGAAGATCAATACCAAGTAATACCGAGCAATACCGAATAATCCCAAAAAATACCGAGTTTTTCTAGAAAAAAACTCGGTATTTTTTGGGATTACTCGGTATTACTTGGTATTTTGTCTTCACATAATGGTATTTCTCGTTATTGTTGGTATTGCTCGGTATTTCTCGTTTTGTGCCTGCGATCTTAGTGCCGGCCGAACGTAGCTCTACGTACGTTCACCGGACCAAATAAAAGTTCCTATATTTGAGCTCATTTGGGTTTGGATTGAACTGATTTTGATGTCGTTAGGTTCTTCTTGGCAATATGTTCAGTGGGACTATAAGCTTGCTAAGATTAGAGTTCGGATGGCCCTAAATATATTTTTAAAAGTTTTCAACTCAAATATGCCTCAAGATTCGTGCTTGATCAAGGTGATTTTTGGTGACTTATCAATTAGATTTTTTTTTTAATGTTAAGTAGCAAATTGTAAAGCACATGATTCAACTACATAATTAACAAAAATATTTATTTTAAGTGTCTTAATGATGTTGGAATTATAGGACATTGGACTTGTTGGATTTCTCTCGTCGAGATGCTCGATTTGACTATAAGCATCGTAAATTTGGAAAGCATTCGGTCTTCCAATTAATGTGCTGAAGCTCTTTACTATTCTTCAAGTACTTAATCTTGATTCATTCAGGCTTCGTTTGGAACGGTTTTTTTACTGCTTCGTACACCAATTTTCGAGTACAAAAATTTTAAATTTTGTACTAAATAGTTGTTTTAAGAAGCAGTAAAAAGGCCATCCCAAACGAAGCATCAGATTCAGATTAGACTATTTTTTATATCAATTGGTTTATTTAAAAGCTTAGTTAACATATGCTAATCAGTTATTATCAATTAACAAATGTTAATTAGTTAGTTAACAGCTTTTAATTAAATTAAAAAGGAGAGAAGTCTCGTTATCCAAATGTCATTAGATTTTAAAAAACCCGGTCATTGAAAAATACATAGCTGCTTTTTTTTTTTTGAAAAAAATAAAATTTCAATGGTAGAAAAAAAAAGAATAAAAACTTTAATAGGAGAATATTAATTTTTAAAATGAGAAAGCAATATTAATCAATACATTAATTATTATAAATTATTTATTTATTTATTAAATTAATATATCTTTTAGTTTTCTTATAAAATTTTTATTATACATATTTGCTTTCATAATTAATTTATCAATTATTTAAATTTC